TTTCTTTCTTTCTTTCTTTCTTTCTTCCTTCCTTCCTTCCTTCCTTCCTTCCTTCCTTCCTTCCTTCCTTCCTTCCTTCCTTTCTTTCCTTTTTTTTTTTTTTGCTAATTTCTTAAGGCCCGTGCAGCTGGGCTCAAAACGGTCCATTTAAGCTATCCTGGGGTCCAGATGGTAAATGTTTCAAATTGGGATCCACCCATCAGGGCTGTGAAAGTAAGTCCTGATAAGCCTTTGAGCTAGGTACGCCAATGCTAGCCCATTTGGATTCTAAGGGAAAAGGATCTATGTGTAGAGCCATAGTTTGAATGCTCAGCACTGCCGCCTTCCTGTAAAATGTTCCAGATGACCAGACTCAGGGACTGACATTTGACTAGTAATCTCTCAGTGTCCCACCTCAAAGCTGAGTCAAAAAAAACCAAGCTGAACCAAAACATCTCCTGGTGGTTCAATTAAACCACACGCCTTTAATCCCAGCACTCAGGAGGCAAAGCCAGGCGGATCTCTGTGAATTTGAGGCCAGCCTGGTCTATAGAGCAAAATCCAGGATAGGCACCAAAACTACAGAGAAACCTTGTCTGGAAAAACCAAACCAAACCAAAAACATCATGGAACCATACAACAGTTAGCAGTGGACATAGCAGTCGGAGGATTACAGACAGGGTCTCCTTCCAGTTGCCGTGGAGGCAGAGGATGGACGCCCTGTGGTCTAGGAGAGAAGTGCCCTGTGGCCCCTGGAGCTGCTCTGGGAGGGTGCCACCTTCCCAGGCCAGCTTGTCACTTTTATACCTCAGCCCTGTCCCTTAAGGAGTTCTCAGTTAGCCTCACTAGACCTGACTGAGGTTGGGTCTCTGTTCTTGGCCAACCCTGACACTCACTCTGTGCTTGGGTCTGCTGCCTCTGCTCTGACTGTCTTTCCTAGAATATCTTCACAGTTGGCTTGTCTTTCTTTCTTTTATGTTCTTTGGGTTGAGTATCCATCTCACCAAGGACTAAATTCTGAAGCTGAAAAACACGTATGCTTCCTTTCCAACTACGCAGTCTGGTACAGAGCAAATATAGACGCTCCATAAAGGACGGTGGTAAAAGATAAAATGCTGAGAAAAGCCCCAGGAGCTTTTGCCATGCAGAATCTGTGGCATGTGCCAAGCACTGTGTATGTAGTTTTTTTCCCTTTAAACCACCTGTCTGGGAAGTGCTGCACCTGCCTGTGAACACAGGGAATGGGTCTGGGCTGGGATGCTCCTGCATCCGGCTTCCTCCATCTTTAGTCTCAAATACATAAGGCACCATGTATGACATCGGCTTCCCCCAGTAGACTTGAAGTCACCTGGCCTCTGACACTATGTAAGAAACTCCCAACACAGGACATTCCAATGTAAAGAAAATATGACATCCTCAGGGAAATTAAATTTGACCTAATTTGCCTACTCTTCTTTTACCATTTAAAAAAAGTGTTTTTCAAGAATTTAACAAAAGGCTATAGAATGGGCGTGTATGTGTGCATGTGCGCGTGCAGAGGAGCTTGCACATAAGAGAGCAGATTTCCCTGGAGCTGAAATTACAGGTAGTTGCGAGCCACTGGGAATCAAAGCTAAGTTCTCTGGAGGAGCAGTAAGTGCTCTCAACAGCTGAGCCATCTCTCCGGGGCCCTGACACTCGGATTTTCTGGGGCTACCATGCATCTGTAGATAGCTTCTCACAGTAGAGCAATTTTCCTCAATATTGATTCTTCCAACCCATGAGCACGGGAGGTATTTCCGTTTCCTACTATTTTCCTCGCTTTCTTTCTTCTGTGTTTTAACGCTTTGCTTGTATTGGTCTCACATTCCCTGAGCAGCTATAAAAGGACTCTGTTCCTACTCAGAGGGGGCGATTCTCTTGCTCTGAGAATTCACTCATGCGTGTCTTTCCACAGTATCTAGTCTTTAATAAAACCTTAATATCCACTCTGGAAAAGCAGAAAGTGGGGAGGAGGAGGGGGAAGAGAAGAAAAAGAGAAGAAGAGAAGGGGGAGGGGGAGAGAGAAGAGAAAAGAAAGAGAGGGAGGGGAGCGGGGGATGGGGAGAGAACTAATAGTTTTGCTAGTAATCTTGATCTAGGCCCTCATCACTGTTATCAGTTTCTTCTGAAATTACTATTACATCTATGACATATCCCCCACCCCCCCCACACCCCCCCCCCCCCCACACCTCCACACCCCCACCCCCCCCACCCCCGACTTCAAAACAACTGTCCACGGACATCTCAGACACTCACCAGCACCGTCATGTTGCGGTAGGAAAAATCCACCTCCTGAAGACGTCACGAATTGGTGGTGACTTCCGCTCTCTGAGGAGATGTACCCATCCTGTCTGTCAGCTAATGTTCCCTGAGATGACAGATAACTGGGGATATCGGCCGGCAAATTGGTCTCATCTGTGATCAAACAACAGCACTCGCATCAACAGCCTTGCCCCACAGCTTCCGACGCTGGCAGGATGGAGACTACAGACTGCTCTGGTTTCCATATCATCCATAAAGGAAGATCTACTCCTGGAAAAACCAGGGATGGCCCACGACTGCTTCTCAGCTCTGGGCCATGAGTTAATTTCGACTTTACTTCCCACGAAACACACCCCTGCCCAAATTTGAAAACCACATGTCCAAAAGGTGATGCCTCAAACACACAAACCCAGCTCTTGGATCATCTTCCATTTCATCAGTGGCAGAGTTTGCCGCCAACCCTCATTGCAAAATCCACTGCACGTGCATGTGTACACAGGCCATAAGGAACTTCCACCGAGGGTGAGCCAGCCCCCTGGGGGCTCCTGCCTCCCTGTGACCATCCTGGAGGAGGGCTATTTCACTCTGTGCTTCGGATTTTTCCCTCTCAGCCATCAGGATTTCCTGATGAGGTTTTAATAAAAAGACTGATCTCTGTGCATCAGCGTTATTCCAGGCTGGGTCTAGTTTTTAGCTACCCGTATCCCTGCAGCTTGTAGCCCATGAGTCACCCTTCTGAGACAGGCTCAGACTGGGACACAGCCGGGAAGGGAATGCTTACGAAGCCACAAACACACATGACGGCCGCACCCCGGGCCAAGCTTGTGTTTACACACCTGTGTTGGTAATACTGCAGTCCTCATTCCTGCGCCTTGTGTGGTAGATGATGACCACCCACACGAGGGATGTGCCTACCACACAGCAAACCACGGCTATGATCACGACGCCCACGGTGGCCCATCCGTCATCGTCTAAGGATGGGGCGGTCATGTGAGGGGAGTCGCAGGTCGGAGTAGGAATCACGCTGAGGCGCATGTGGCCTCTCTCGGTGCCCAGGGTATTGGACATTTCACACGTGTACTTTCCCGCATCGCTGACGTCTGAGTCCACGATAATCAGCAGCTGGTTGCCCGCTGCAAAAAAGTGCCTCTCGGTCACCACCAATGGGCTGTCATCTTTTGTCCAGTTCAGCCTCGGGGGTGGGCTCCCACCGGCGATACACTGCAGGACCGCTGTTTCTCCCTTGGTGACAGTTCTGTCTAACAGAGGCCGCAGAAATGATGGTGTCTCTGAAAGGACATGGTTTGGATTTCCTACGTGAAAAACCGGGTTCCACAGAAGACCTAGCAGGTGAATTTATTTAAACTGTGTACTCCTACAGCTCCTCAGACAAGCGTATTCAAGAGCCCCAAACAAGGTAACCTTGGATCACACCACTCATCCCATGACTTAAGGGTAAAATTTATGAGTTTTTAAATCTCAGTCTTCCTCATTCATGCCAAGGTTAGTGAATTGGTAGTAGGAAGATAAAACAGTTTTTAAAGTCTAGAAAATGTATGAAAAAAAATTAATAAGTTCATGCACAAGACTGTGTTGACATGTGGACAAAGGCAAAGAACGCTCTAGAGATTTATTTTTATGACTTTTAATTATGTGCACGATATGCACGTGTCTATGTGTGGGAATGTGAACACAAGAGAGATTCCTGAGGAGGCCAGAGGCGGTGGGTTCCCCGGAGCTGGAGTTAGAGGCAGGTGTGAACTGACAGTGCGGATGCTGGGAACCAAATTCAGGTCGTCTATAAAGCAGCACACACTCTTTAACTACTGAGCCACCTCTCCAGGCCCATGCCGATTTATTATTTTTTTTTAATTAAGTTTCTCATGCCTGATACCTAGGTCTGTACGGAAATCTCGGCAGGTCCTCCTCTACTATCTGGCTCTCGGTAGGTTATTGTAACTCTCTCAAAGACACATGAATTATGAACGTGTTCCAAATCTGACCAACACCTCCTGTTTAGGTAGGTGGTAAGAACCGGGACTTCCAGGAGGTGGAGCCAAGGGAACGGGTCTTCCTTGTCTGTCTATAGACATTTTCTGACATGTTCTTTACAGCACTGAGATGACCAATGGCTGTGAATAATCCCCGTCCACAAAGAGAACACTGAGAATGTACTCAAGAGTAAAGGGGGCAGATTCACCTCCCTGGCCACAGGCCTGAATATGTCCAGTGACCCCTAGATGTCAAAGCTCTCCAGAGGCTCTTTGTTCATTTGAAGACCGAATTCTCTGGGTCTTCATCCGCCCCTTTTCCCCCAACAGCTGCTAACATGGAGGGTCTCTGGGTTAGTTGGGGGCCTTCAGGAGGGACTCGGAGCCTTAAGAAACCCCCGCCCGTCTCACCTAGCACGGTCAGGGTCGCGTTTGCAGAAACGCTCCCCGCACTGTTCTGAGCCGTGCAGCAGTACACCCCGATGTCCTCAATCTTCACGTCCACTATGAAGAAGACGTCGTCCTCCGGCATCACATGCATGCGCCTCTCCCGGGCAGCTGGGAAATCCGTGCCTCCATCCTTCTGCCAGGCTATCTGCGGGGCCGGGTGTCCCCCGGCGGCACACTCCAGGCGGGCCATGGCCCCCGCACGGATGGTGAGGTCCATGGGGGTCTTGGTGAAGGAAGGTAACACTGCAATCACAAAGGGGCATTGCAGGTGTGACCGGGGCGGCAAGGGTCCACCCGCGCTGCTCCTCCTCTTCTAGGTGTCTCGAGGAGACACGTGACTCACGTAAGGCAGGGTTATTGCTCTAAGACAGAGACGCTAAGCTTGAGAAATGAGACAGCTCGCTCCGGGTTAACGCCCGGCGCAGGTGTGATGGAATCAGAGCGGCACACGGGTCACAGGACCCAGCCTCTGGCCGAATCTTAGTTTTCTCAATAATTAAGTGTGAGATCTTGGGCAAATCAATAAATCTCTCTGTGCTACGACCATTCGCTTCCTCTACCCTCCCTGCCCCCCCTTGGTCCTGCAGGACCTAACATTTTGTGACTTTATCCCATTCTGTACTTTAAACTCTTCTATGCGCCAGGCCTTAGCAATTGCCTGCTCAATGAAATTCACTAAATCATATTCCAAATCTTCTCCTACCAGGCAGACCTTAACCGTTAAAGTGGAGAGAGCATCCAAAATGCAGTCTTAGAATTGTAGAATCGAATACCTGCCATGCAAATCTACGGCACTGCCGTTGAACAGTGGCTGCTATGAATGCACTTCCTGATGCACTTCCTGACCACTACCCACGCTCCACGCTGCTGCACCAAGCCACTGACATACGCACATTACCTTATTAATGGATCGTGACATTTCTAGGAAGTGGCACTTAGCATCTCTTTATTTTATTTTTATGTGCACTGGTGTTTTGCCTGCATATGTGTGTCTGTGTGAAGGTGTCAGATCCCCTGGAACCAGAGTTACAGACAGTTCATGTGGGTGCTGGGAATTGAACCCGGGTCCTTTGGAAGAGCAGATGGTGCTCGTAACCGCTGAGCCAGCCATCTCTCTAGCCCCCCACCCCCCATCTCTAAGTGGAAGACAGAGGTATGAAGGTAAGACACTTGTTGAGAGTCATAACTATACATCTGGAGTGACAGTATTCACACCCAGAGCTGAGTTAAAGGCAGTATGCTGTGTGGCCCTACCTATCACAGTGCCCCAGAGGGAGCACAAGTATCTGTCTCATTTTCATTCTGGTTCATCCTGCCACATTCAGAGAGGTGGGTTCAGTAAATCACTGCTTTAGAGACAAATAATAAAGAGTAGTGATTTTGTGTCGCTAGGTGGGAAACTATGAGAAAGAAAAGCAGGGGTTGCTGGGAGAGAGGGGGGTAAGGGGAACAGACAGACACTGCAGCTGTTTCTAAAGGGTATCCCGAGACACTGGAGGAAAGGGGATCGCGTACTGTTTACGGTGAGCTTGGCTTTGACAGAGTACGACGACCCGAAGTGGTTGGAGATGACACACTGGTATCTCCCTTCGCTGGTGAATTCTACACCGTGCAGCCTCAGGATAGTGGTGTACTCCATCACCTCGCCTCCCTGGGCCCGGAGGTGTGCGTAGTTCTCCATTTCAGCATCCTGCAGCAGCTCATTGTCTTTTTTCCACGCAAACGTCATCGGGGAGTCACTGCTGCTGGCAGCGGAGCAGGTGAAACTCACGTTGGAGCCTTTTATGGCGGACTGCGTTTCTGGTTGAACCGTGATCTGGGGCTTGGGGAAATCGTCTGTTTAAAAGGGGGGAGGAGGAGGAGGAGACAAAGTCACTTGAAGGCCCTGGAGAACACCCGCGCTCAAACGCCAACACCAGGCAACACAGTAGAGAGCTAGCTCAGGGCTGACCTCATGCCTGGGTTTTACAGACACCTCCGCTGTCCCAGAGTGGAACGACAAGCTGGGAGAATGCTCGTAGGCAACCGACTGGAGTCCAGTGGAGACGGAAGCTCCGTCATGATCAACCTGAGAGAAGTGTTACCTCGAAACGATCCTAAGAGTTTACGCCACGTGTCTGGCATTTCGCGTAAGCGTAAGAAGAGCAGTTAGGAAGGCACAAGGCACAAGGGAAATTAGACCGCATTTAAACCCGAGTGATGGAGTGGGGTAACGCTGGCTGACGGCAATTAAGTGATTATTTTATAAGAGCCTGTAGAGAGGATCTGCAATCTTGCCAGCACAAAGAAATGACTGAAGTTTGAGGTGATGGACCTACCGGGTAGCCTGATCAGCTCACAGGACATCTTCTTCGTGTACTGGACTGTCACAGCATACCCACACACATGCATAATTACCATAATTATCACATTAATCACCATAAAGAGTTAGAAGAATTTTTTTTTTTTAAGGAAGAGATAAAAAAGCAGTTTAAAAACTTCCAGGCTCACGGATGATCCCTGAATGTTCTCAGCAACTACAATCTTTTGCTTAGGCTCTCCATTAAAAATATCAAGTAAAATACTGTAGTGGGTAGCCATTCCAGCCTTGATCTGGAAGTTCCAACCCCCATAGAGGCTACAGTAACTGTCATGCCTACAAGGCGGGGGCCGGGAGAGGACCCTGAAGACCGGAGATCCGGATGCGCTGGCTCTCTTGGTTCCTGGACCCTGGATGCTGGAGGTAGACCGAGTAGAGTTCTCCAGAGAGCCGGACTGCACGACACCTTTCCCAGACCCTGTTAACTATCCCTTCACTTGTGAGTTACCCCACAAAATAAACCTCCCTTTTAACTATGTGGAGTTGCCTTAATTTCACCAATAAAACATACACAAGCAAACATCAATGGCAAATAATCATAAACCCCTATCATCAAGACAATAACAAGTGGCTGGAGACCTGGTTGCTCTTGCAGAGGACCTGGGATTGGTTCCCAGCATCACACTGCTCAGCTCGTAACTGCCTGTGATTGGAGTTCTGATTCCTCTTCTAGCCCTATGGATACTTGAATACACACGACACACAAGCAGACAGACAGACAGGCATACACACACACACACACACACACACACACACACACACACACACAAATAAATTAAGAAAAGACGGTAATGAGCAAAAAGCAAACCAACAAACAAAAAAAGCCAAAAATAAATCAAGCAGATGAAAAAGCATGTGCGAGCTAGCACACTGGCTGGGGCCTGAAGTGGGACAGTCCATCAATCAGGCCCTGTCGGGCTACATTATAATTAGAGCTGGGCAACTCTCTCATTCCGGGCGGTTATTTTTAGCTCTCTGTTACTTTTTGGAAGTAGTTACCTTTTTTGAACTTCAGTTTCTCCGAGATGGCCTAAATAAACCCTGGAGGAAACTACCAGATCTCCCAACATGGGTTTCTGGATAACGGAGAATCTGAAAACACAAGCTTTCAGAAGGACCCTGAACGGAAGCAGGGTGCTCCTCTGACCACGGCCTGGCTGCCAGCTTCCGACCCTATGCCTGTGGGTTGTTCAACAGGAGTTTCTTCTGTGTGACTCGTTGAAATTTCCATCCCATAAATCAGTGTTCTGATTCACAATGGAGAAGGGGGAAAAAACCAAACAAACAAGCGGTACAGATGAAGCACTTGGGTTTGTCTCACAGTACCAGGGTTCGTATATCTGGGCGAGAGAATCGTGAGATAAAGAGTGTGGAGAAGGAGCAGGGTAGGCCCTGGTGGCTGACTGCCAAACGCTGATTTGGTTCCCAAACCTACACCAGAGGTTTTATTTCCAAAAATTGCTGGCACCATTAAATTCTGCAACCTGATACACATACATACATCAAAAAAAGCAAAGCAGTGTGTAGTCAGGTTTTAAATGCCAGGGTAAAATGCTGGCCTATAGTTTCTTCTCACATGTGCCTTAACTTTCAGCAAATCTTGATTTTTGTGTTTTACACACACATTTATTTTTGTGAAGGCTTCCCTGGCAGCTAAGAGTCAAGAGCTGCCTGGTATTATGACAGAAAACTGTACCGGTGATGGGAACTTTGTTTGTTAACCATGGTCTGTTCCTCACTAGTCAGAGGAATTCTGGGTAAGAGGATTTCAAATACTGAAACTCTTGTTTGCTAAGACAATGGATCTTAAAATGACTAAACGATAAACTCAAACTTGCCTTTCCTCCTAAGGCTTTAACCCACCAACGCTTAATGTCTCAGCAGTCCTAATTCCTTGGCTACTGAATTTCCTTTCTCCATGCCTCTCAGCAAACCCCAGAGTTTAAAGAGCGGAAAGCAAAATGCACCACAAGACCCAGCCATCTTGGATGGGGGAGGAACTTATTGCTGGCCCCACCCCTCCCTAAGAGCCTATAGACAAGAGTTGCCATCTTGGATGGGGGAGGAGCTTACTGAGGACCTTACCCCTCCCTGAGAGCTATAGGTAGCCAGAGTTGCTGAGGGAGGGGGGCAGTCAGGTAGCTACCGTGCCTTGCCCTTTCACCAGTAAATAATGCACCAATAATGCTCACATAGACGATACTTACTAAACACAGTGGGTCACCAAAAAAGACATGAAAGTAGGAGATGGATTCTGGAAGAAGAGCGTTTGGTGGGCAGGGGGAAAAGACTGAGAAAGGATAACGGGGGAAGAGATTTATACCTATATATATGAACGGGTGAAAATAATTTTTTAAAACAGATTACTGATTTTTAAAAAGGGGCAAGCGGCAGTTAAGACGCCTTCAGGTTCCCTGGATTGGTAGCTATGAACCCACCTACTTGGGAAGCTGCACTGTGGAGTGAGTTCCAGGCTACCCTGAACAACTCAGTGAGACCCCCATTTCCAAAATTAAAAACACACAGAATAGTGGGGAGTGGGGGGGCCGGTGATGCCACTCGGTGGAGGAGCCCTTGCTCAGGGCACACAAGGCCCCGGGCATGATCTCCATGAACACGCAGAAGAAATGCAACACCTAGGCTCAGGGACTGTCTTTGAAAGCTGCTACTAGGAACTGCCATTTTTTCCCACGGTCTCTAAAAATAACAGCAGGAAAATCGAGAGAGCGGCGTCAATGCCACACCACCACAGGCGGCTGCTGATATGCCAACTACGGAACCAGCGTCAAAGGCCAGTAACACGCCTCCACAGCAGAGGACGGTTGGCGGAAGCGGAGAAGAGTCGGGTCCAACTCATTCACGATCTGATTTCTCTCTTGCCACCAAACCACGCTGATGCTAAAACAAATACGAAGTTACACGTCGGTGAACTCCACCAGCGTCTGTAAAATGCTGACGGGCAGCCACCTCTAGATCCACTTCGTCAACCTCAGCAGAAAGCAAAGGTCTATTCAGAGAACACGAATCTCTCCAAAACCATTATTTGGACAAATTAAATGGGAGAGAAAAAAAAAAATGAATGAACATCAAGGGTGAACCTTTCACTCACCGCACACAAAGCCATCTGGGCTGACAGTAAAAATACTCCTCCCCTTCAGCAGCTGAGGGTGGGCACAACTGGCGTTAACGAAGCTCTGGAAGCTGTTCTCCACCACCCACTGCGGGAGCCACTTCAGCTGGCAGTCACACAAGAGGCTGGAGGTGTTCAAGTGCCTGAGGAGAGGAATCACATTCAGTTTGCTTCGTATGAAATGCAGATTTCTTCCACAAGTCCGTCAAACCTGAGTAAGTATTCACCAAGTGAGGAATTTGGAAACTCAATGCACAATATTGTAAATATTCCACAGTCTGCCTCAGAATGCAAGACAACGAGCGAGCGGGTCCTTTGGACTCCGTTGCTCTTACTGTCCTATGGAGGCAGAAGTGCTGATACATCAAAATTCCTAACGAATGCTATATTTAGGTACCATACTATATATGGTCCCACAGACGTAAGCTGCAAATTCAAAACAGAGAGCAAAAGAAATTCCAGTCGCAACCAAGGGGACAAATAACCCACGTCCCCTGTTTCCTGGTTTAAACATCAATCACGTCAAGAATGCGCTAGATACTTTTTTTTTTTTTGATGACCTATCACATGACAGCTCCCCTTTGGGGCTTCATGTGAAACCGGAGAAGAAGCAAAAGGGAACGCTTACAGTTGCTGAAGTTTCTTCATTTGGGAGAACGCATTGCTCTGCAGAGACATGATGGCGTTGTCGCTCAGGTCGCTGGAAAACAGCCAAGACAAAACACGTCAGGGTGAACTATGGCCAGGATGTGTTCTTAAGGTCTGGGCCACACCCCACTGCCCACACCCCCGCTTCAGCAAGCAAGTACTCCATGCTGAAACGTGTGACTGGGACCATTGCAGTGGAATCGCCCAGAAAGCTCTGACCAAGGAACCCAGAGATGGGTTCAGTTACGGGGAGAGAGTATCATTTCTGTCACCACACCCAGGGCGTTGACTCCTCCAGGGCTCTGGCTGATCCGCCTGCTGTTTATTTCTCATTATTCAAATTTGCTGTTAATGAAGTGTGCAACCTAATGCTTCATGATTGCGCATTTAAAGAAAAATCTTCCCTAGCCCACGTTCCATGATGTGTGTTTTGATATCCACTACTACAGGCATTCCTAAAGCGACTCAGAGAACGATGGCCAACCTACGTAGCTTGGCACAAGAGGGGATGGAGACGGTTGGGCCCATTATTTTCCCCTCCAGCCTGACTTTGTCACACGCAGCTCATCACTGGCAAAAGCAGTGATGTTCAGGTGAGATGCCTTCATTACAGCAAGTAAGATTCCAGGCAGGTCATCCACCAAATGAGAAGATACTCTATGTTGACTTTCTTTTTAACTAGTACCTTAAAGCAGTCTGAATTAAACTACCAGCCACAATGGTTACTTTTTTTTTTTCTTCACAGTTCACAGCGTAAAGGGGGTGGGTTTAAAACAAGACCTCCGTAGACTAGGAAACAAAGAATGGAGGTGCCGGACTTGGGTAGAGAGAGAGAGTCAAGGAGAACCAGGGGAGGTTAGAGAAAATTGAAGCAGAGGTTAATACTCCGCTGATCCACTAATTCCACTTTCCCAGAAACGGAACGGGCCAGTTGACAAATGCTTTGGCTAGCTTTCCTTTGAAAATAATCTGTTTCAATAACAGCCATCCTGAGTTGGCCTGGCAGCACTCAGTTCTGCAGACTCATTCTGCAATTCCCAACTGTGGCTCTGTCTGTGGGGCTGGGCCATCAGTTTCTCTCTCAGAACAAGTGGTACAGCTGGGAGATGGCCCACGCGGTGGCTGATAGACAATACCCAAATACATAGTCTTCATGAGGCACAAGCCAAGTGTGTATTTAAATGAGAGCATTTGTCCGAGTTAACATATGGGAGGGCTTTTGGCTACAAGCATTCCTCAATGGAGCGAGCATACTCTAAGCTCGACTGTGATTGGACTATCCAAATGTGAACCAATGTGAAGCTAACAGTAACAGTAGGCTGGGTCAGTTGTCGTAATATTTAAGCCATACTTCCCACGTTCAGTGTTTCCTTTTATAACTGAAAGCCCTCTACCCTGAAATCTCATTTCAGAAATGTGTGCCAAAGGTGCCTGAAGACGGGGCATGGATTGAGTAGTCATGAGCTAAAAGGGTCTTTCTGAAGCCAGAGAAAGCCTAATCTTGTGTTTTCCTAGCAATCCCCAACTTCTGTGTGGGGAGTGAGAGAGAGAGCTGGTTTGTCCGTTCTGCAGCAATGGACAGCAGCAACAAAGTTTCTCAGGACAAATCTCCATCACGGCGGCCCTCTCAAGGACAGTTTTTTGATCTTTTTGAAAATTCAAGTCGTCCTAATTGTTAAAAAGAACCCATGAATCTTCAGGAACTCTATTTAACGTTTTAAAAAGACGGCAATGGTTGTTGAACAGTATTCCTGCACATACTAAATGGAACAATAGATACTTATATATTCAGGACCTGGCAAGATGACCAGACTATGAGAAGTGCCCAATATATGGTACATTGTTTTAAAGTTGCCACCGCTTATAAAGACGAATAAACATGGTAAATAGAGCGATGTTCTCAATGGTATCAGAAAACACAGAGGTGAACTCCAGAAGATAAATAGGAAGCAAGACTGACCGATGATAGGTAGATGTGCAAACGTGTTTTGTAGCATAGGGGAGATGTCGGCAGAGGCTGTTTGTTTCATATTTCAGGAGTCATAAACAGAAACCGTCTGGGACCACCCTTGGGGAAACTCAATTCCAGGTACTCACAGGTGTTCCAGGGCGTCCAAACCAGTGAAGGCCTTTTTGGTAATAGATCGAATGCGGTTTCCCTGGAGTATTCTGGAGGGTAGGAGGGGGAGAAGGTAACCATCACATTGTAATAAATTTTTAAAAAGCCATTTAAGGAGCAGAACTCTTATAAACGGGACCATTCTCCTTTGTGAACAACACTGTTTTCTTCAAGGAGACAATGTGACTTGAAATACCAGACCCCTGATATCATGTTCAGTCACATGATTTAACGCGGGTTTCAAAGCATTCAACAGACACCTCCACGTAGGAGCTTGAGTGAGAAATGCCTCCACAGGCTCATAGACTTGACCACACAGTCCCCAGTTGGCAGTTCTGTTTGTGAAGGTTATAGGACTTTGAGGATTTGAAGCCTTGCTGGAGGAAGGACATCACTGGGGGCGGGCCTGGTGAGTTGACAGCGTCCCCCATTTCCAGCTCACTACCGCAGAGACATGGTCTCCAGGCTTCCTGCTGCCGCTGCCGTGCCTGCCCTCCCATCACGGACATAGAGCTGTCCAGAACGATGAGCCAAAACGAAACTCTTAAGTTGCTTTCGGTCATGGCCTTTGACCGCAGCAACAGAGGTAAATGGCTGACACACTCGGCAGACACAGGTGCTAAGCCGGTGCTTCTGGGAAATCACACTGGGCCACAGGGCAGCTTGCTCCCCTCTTCTCTGTGGCTACCCCTTCATGACCAACTGAAAACAGAACGATCTACAAGACCCTTTCGGGGCTGACTGTCAAGTGTTTGCATCCTTTGTGGACCCTGATGCAGGGTGATTGATGGACGGTGGACTGCTTCCCTTGAGAGCTCATGACCATAGCACACTGTTGGCGTTTTCTAAAGGTTGGCATAGGCACACACACTCCCTTCAACACGGTGGTCATTCCTAATGGGTAGCAGTCAAAACAAATCTCAAGTTCTGATCTAGGTATCAAAATGAATTAGACCAATCCCAGGACTGAAGTTTCTTCCTTTCCCTCAAGGAAGAAAGGCTAATTAATACGCACACATCATGGGCAATAGCACGCACCTGGAGGAACGACCTAGGGTGCAACCAGATGACATATCTACTTCTAATGTCTCTATGATGTCAGCTTGTGGATCTGACTTCAATTAAGACAATAATCTTAAGTCACAGAGGAGGCAAACTAAGAGGCAAATTATACTCACAGTCGCCTCAATTTGTCCAGCCCAGAGAAGGCTCCATTCATGTCTTCAATCGTCCATGAAATTTCATTGTTTTTCAGATCCCTAATGAAAACACAGTGTTCTCCTTAGACATACTTCTCAGAAACCTCACACCACCCACCACCCAGGTGGTGTGCCCAAAGTCCTCCTAATTGCCCCACCAGCTCCACCCAATTCAGAAGAAGGATCACAGTTCTCTAAGGTGCCTCTTATATCCTGAACTCTGCAGTCAACATTGGCAACACTTTCCCCGAACCAAGACAGGCAACCCAGCCCTGTCAAATCTCCTATCAAGATGGCTAAACCCTACAGTCTCAAGCAACTTGAAAAATACATTAAATTCTAAGACCAAGTTCCCATCACACAAACAGACATGCGCCAAAGCATGCAGCTAACATTGGAGAGATTTTTTCAAGCAACCAGTTAATTCCACACTTAGGAAAGAAATCAGGTTGTGGTTAACCAGAAGAGCCAACATTCACCTTCCTATAACTTTTTTTTAATTTTGCTCTGGGTTATTTTTAATCTATGTTTTATAAAGAAAAATAATAGCGGACTTAAAATTGTTTCTCTCTTTAACAGTTTTGAACTTCCTAGTGATCCTGCGAAGGAAGGCAGCAATCACCGGGCAGTCTGATCAGTGTACTTTTTAATCCCTTTAAGAAAAACACACATGGATGAAATGGATCTATTCTAATCAAACTGCTCTGGGAAAGATTAAGACCCCCACTTTAGAGGCTGCACGCATTTCCTCAACAACAAAGGAAATCTGCTGGGAGAAAAGTGGGCGCATTTAGGAACCAATTAGGTTCATGTACCGAGAGCAAAATGTGGAACTTACAAAGTCTTTAAACTGGAAAGGCCCCGGAAGGCACAATCCGCAATGTAGCTGACTTGGTTGTGCCCAATGTGGAGGGTATTTAGCAGACTTAGGCCAAGGAAACTGGAATCGTCGAGCCTCGATAAGTGGTTGAAAGTTAGGTCCCTGCAAAGAACAACAACAACAACAAAAAGAGCTTTTCTCTTTCCATCCAATACAATAATCTGTTTTCTAAAAGAGAGGTGGTTAAAAAAAAAATGTTAACTACCATAATCCTGTTTTAACATTCTGCCCTCACAGTCTCCAGGTAAGCATTCCTAATCATCTCAGCAATTAAAATTAAACAAATAGCCCATGAAACTGCTTTTACCAATGTGCCACAGAGCTGAAGAGAGCGGAGCTGGCTTCGACTTAATCACAACCAAAAATGCAGGGACAACAGAGGGCACTTCGGAAAGTGGCTGTCACCTGGGAAACTTTGTTATGAAAATTTCACGGATCCGTGGTAAAGGACCTCTTGTTCCAGCACGATCTCTGCTCTCGAACCCGAGGACAATAAAAGGCAACTTACAGCTCGCTGAGTTTCTGGCAGAACTCCCAGGCATCCTCGCTGATCCTGTTGATGGCATTCTGGCTCAGATGAAGCTCCCGCAGCATCAGCAGGCCGTAGAGCCAGCCTTTGGTGATCTCAGTGAGGTTGTTATGGTCTAGCTGCCTACAGGTACAACGAGAACCAGAGGCGGGATCCGGAGTTCATAATCTAGTCTCGACATGCATGGCTGCCTGCAGCCCATGACGTCTCCCTCATGTGCTTAGAATATCCGGCTTGGATATATAAAGACATCAGCAAAAGATTTATGTGCTTCTAAATTCTCAGCTCGTCTGAAACGTCACTGAGTCACAAATTACAGCTGTGATTGTAAAGTATGAGAATTTAATGTGGGTTTTCAATAAGAGCTACCGAGGGCCTTACTCTAGGGTCATGCCATCTGAGTGGGAACCGTGATAACCCACACTTACAGGATTTCCATGTTGCTCAGACCCCAGAAAGCTCCATCCATAAGCTTTGTTACTCCATTTCTTTGCATTTTCAGAGACTTCAGTGCCCCAAGCCCTTGGAATGTGAGTCCGTCCACGTTCTTAATCTTGTTTCGGTTCAGTTCTCTGCATTGGATGTTACGATTAAGCAGTTAGTTCATACGACAATAAAATTCAAGAGGTAGCAATAAAATGTGTCATATACTACTACAATATATTTAACCCAATCAGTGCTAAACTACACAGAATGTTTTTAAATTTCCCAGACTTTTTATTGACAAGAATTTCATTTTTTTCCCTCAATGTATTATGGGGAGGCAGGAGTGATGGATGTCTGTGTAAAACCGCACGATACATTTTTGGAATAATATGGGAAGTACATTAGATTTTCATTTCTACACTGTTGTCCACTAAGGGTAGCAGCAAACCAACTGGTGTTCATCTTCTGTGGATGCAGAATTAGAGCAATAATCGTGCCAGGAGGTCTACGCAAGAGCGGCACGGAAATCCCGCTCCATATGCATGCAAAGTTGGTTACCGTCATTCCAAATTAGTTTTCAGCTTGGTGCTTCCCTGCATGCTGCAGCTCTCGATTTCTGCTCAACACTGGAACCCCCTAGGGAGCTTTAAAAGTCCCCAAAGCCCAAACTGCAACCCCTAGAGGTTTTAGTATAATTGGTGCGGGGTGCAGCCCGGGGCGCTGGGGCTTTGAAAAGCTCCCCAAGTCTCTGTAACGCGCAGCCACGGTTGAAAAGCGGGCGCCACTGCGAGAGGGAACCCGTTCACAAACCAGTCTACCCGTCCTTAACAAGCCGGTTCTCTACCACCACTTAGCTATCAAAGCGTCCTGGAGTTGTTGGCATTATTCTCACAAACCACAGCCATTGAGAGACCCTGTGGTTTCCCCAGGTCCACAATGACACCTTTGTGAGGGGGCCGCTCAGTCATCATGCGGCTTGCTCCCTCAGCAGCCCTCCAACGTGTCTTTTCAGGCAGCGGCTGGCACGAGATAACCGGGAAGGCCTTTTCCCAATCGGGAGATTCCACTGCTCTCGCCATGGGAGGGGAAGGCGGTTACCTGCTTCTCCCCTGAACTTCTCCCGCCATACTGTGGGCATCGGAATAACAGACGCCCAAGGTTTAGAGGTGAGGATGTGATATCCAAGAGGCCACCGCACTTACAGGTGCTGCAGCTGGGGCAGTTTAAACATCTTGGGGGGCACAGCTGAGATTCGATTCCTGTTCAGCTTCAGCACCAGGAGGGTGCTTGCCAAGTTGTCAAAATACCCCGGTTCCATGGACATAACTCGGTTGCTATTGATATACCTGTGGAGAGTTTGAAGGTCAGAGGTTTGCTCGGGTTTCTATGGGAAGTCAGAGTGCATTCAATCTCCCCACTGCAAAAGCTCTCCAGAGAACCTGACCACCAGAGGGTACTTAAAAATCTTCAACACTGAGGTCCCTGTAAACAAATTAAGGTTTATACATATGGGCTGGCATATTGGCTCACTGGCAGGATCCTCACCTGGCATGTACGAAGAAGCCCTGGGTTCTATATCCAGTACCAGAAAAATAATAAATACAAATAAAAAGATCCACGCACTGCAGCTTTAATATAAAATGCGTGGTGCAAGCTCATGCACTCCAACACTTATTTTCCAACACAAGTACTCTTTTAGAAGGCGGTAAAGCCTTTGGGAGGCGGGGGCTAGAAGAAGTAGACTGCAGGGGGCGGGACTCGGGGGTCTTATGATCTGGCTTGACTTCCTGTCCACACTGTGACAGGGCTGCCTGCCACTTCTCCCGCATCATGCCTTCTTCCCTGCAATGATGGACTGTACCTTCAAACTGTCAGTCAAATTAAGTCCCGCCCTCCTTTAAATGGGTTCTGGCCAGGAACTAAGTGACAGCGGCAAGTAAAGTAAGCAACACACACAGCCTGACAGGAAAGACCGACTGACATCTTTCAAGGTGACAAATGGCCATTAAAGATACATAGAGACGGCACTGTTTGGAATTAGTTATTAATAAAAACACAGCAAGGCTCTAGTTTGGGGCATATTTTTTTTAATTGTGATACAAAATTGTAAGAAAGAAGACTGTGCCTATTTATGCCAATTTCAACTCAGTATGAAAGATACATTTTTGGGGCTGCAGAGATGGCTCAGTGGTTAAGAGCACACTGGCTGTTCTTCCAGAGGACCTGGGTTCAATTCCCAGCACCCACGTGGCAGCTCACAACTGTCTGTAACTCCAGTTCCAAGGGATCTGACACCTTCACACTTATGCACATAAAATGAATTGAAATAAGTTTTTCTAAAGTTACATTTTAATCCAACGACAGCAAAATCGAGTTTGCTGTATCTTAAAGCCCACCCCTGTTCTAACGATATTCTCCCTGAGGGTAAAAGGCTTTGGTAATTTATACTTACAGATACTTCAGTTGTAAGGGTGGAAGCGCAGTTCTAAGTTCTGAAATATTGTTGTTGCTCAGGTCCAAGGCCTCAAGGGACTGAAAGGCTTCCAGCTGCTCAGGGACGATTTCATCAATGCTGTTCCCGGCCCTGAAATGAAAACACAGCCCGGGGAACAGGTCAACCGCACAGACCAGCACGAGAAGAGTGCTGCCTCTTCCTGACCTGTTCTTCAGGAGTATGAAGACCTGGTGGAGATAAGCAGTACTTCTCAAAGGTGAACGAACAGGAACCCCATGGCCATGCATGCTCTGAGTTCATACTAGAGCAAGTGAAGAGCCGTCCCACGCAAATCTGACGGCCATGCATGTAAACACAACTGACTACCTTTCTTCTTTCAGATTATTTTCCCAATTCCTCCAGTTTTATTAGATAGTAAAGGAAATGTCTAGGGCCCAGTGGGCACACCAGACCACACTGCCCTCATTCCCCATTCCATATATATATATATATATATATATATATATATATATATATATATATATATTATCTTCCTTCCCAATTCTTAATATATATAATATATATACATATATATTTAAACTTACTGCATTTATCACTACTAGTGGGAGAGGGCTACACATGTTGAGGTCAGAAGAGACTTTATGGAGTCAAAATTTCTCCTTCCACTTTGATGCGTTTCCATGGGATCTGGTGACAGCAGTCAGCTGCGTGAGTGAGCATGGCAGGTACGTCTACCCTCAGGACCATCTAGCCAGCCCTATTTCTTCTTGATTCCCAGTCTGATTCTGTCCTTAGAAAGTGTCCTCACACCACGGTGCCATTCAGCTTCCAAAAGGCATCACCCTGTGGCTGCCTCAGTGCCCGGCTGGAAAGATCACCTACCTGTTTTTACAGCAAGTTACTAAGCCGCGAGAGACTTCCATACCAGAGAAGAGCTCCTCGGCTTTCTGCCTTACAACTGTATTCCGGAAGAGCAACCAGCCTGAACAATCTCTAGACACAGGTATATAAAGACATGCTTGACATTATCAGTCCTCAACACCAGACCAAAGCAGACCACACTGGTAGTCACTGGCTACAAATAACTCTTTACATATAACGTAAATGTACACACACACACACACACACACACACACACACACACACTCATACACACCCTGCAACACTCACACATAAGTAAATGTTACTGAGCACGGGGCACACTCTCCTAGTTCCAGCACTCAGGAAGCAGAGGCAGAAGAACGGGGTCAGCCTTGGCTATATAAAAAAAAAGACCACGTCTCAAACCAAAAGTGTTCCTTCATTACAGCACCTATATTTCAAGAGCGCAATAGTCAGCGTTCCTGGTTGCATCGGAAGACACAGAACGTTCCCACCATTTTTCTATTGCGTTTCAAATGGGGAGAGAGGGTGGGGTGCCCAGTCAAGCCCTCACAAACGGACACAGGTACTAGAGCTTCCAAGGGGAAATTTAGCCCTAAGTGACACAGTGCTTGAACGTGGGTGACTGTTGAGCTGGCCTGTATATTCAGTTCCCTCCTGTTTTCTAACAAAACTGTCACTTACAACACGTTAAAGTAAAAAAAAGCCGGAAACAATCATAATAAGGGTTTCTCCTTACAACCCCAGGAGCAGTGTGATAATCTGAGCATTGCACACAGGACTCTGCATTTGATAAAACCCTCACCCCAGTACTTCTGTGTATGATTGGTAGTAACTCTTCCCAAGGAAATTAGAAAATATATCTCGTGTGTGTGTGTGTGTGTGTGTGTGTGTGTGTGTGTGTGTGTGTGTTCTCCTGAGTGGGAAAACATCTCTCTTGGATGTTACGTCACTTACCAAAAGCTGGATTTTTGCAGTGCTTTGGGTTTCTTAAGCTTTTATTAATACCTCAGAGACATCTCTCCATCTCAGAGGTTAGGGGGAATCTCTTACATGGGCTCCCAAATCCTACGCTGCACCACATCATCCCATGCACACCCCTGGTCTCTGCCATACTGCAGACTCCTCTGAGGCAGGAATTCGTGTTCACGACACTGCATTGAAATGTGATGAAACCAGAAATAATGGGGAGCACACTTTGGGTGCCCCACGTTAAACGCATTCTGTATGTTAAGCCGTTGAATGATAAAATAATTTCTCTTTTACAAATAATCTAATAATGGTTGGGAAACTAGAGGCTCTTTGTATAACCAGTCCGATCACTTCTGGGCCACCTCACACAGCAAGTCTCAGTTGGTCCCTAGACAATCCCAGGGTTCTGTGTTCACAGAACACAGAGCACCAGAGACATTTTGGAAATTCAATTCTCACTGCACACGTCCCTTCAGAAAGAGTTGCTACTTCTTATCTTGACAAAATTTAAAAAAAAATTAAAAATTAAAAAAACAAACAAACAAACCCAACTTCTAGTTTCAAGCTGATGTGGAAATCCAACTGGCCCCAGAGCCCTCATCAGAGGCACAGCCAGGGTCCCTTTTTTTAAATTTTATTTTATTTTACAATGCAATTCAGTTCTACATATCAGCCACGGGTTCCCTTGTTCTCCTCCCTCCCCTTCTCCCCAGCCCACCCTCCATTCCCACCTCCTCCAGGGCAAAGCCTCCCCCGAGGACTGAGATCAACCTGGTAGACTCAGTCCAGGCAGGTCCAGTCCCCTCCTCCCAGGCCGAGCCTAGCAACCCTGCATAAACCCCAGGTTTCAATGGTGGAGAGACAGCCCGAGCTGACCTACTCTGGTGATGGGATGGCCAAACACCCTAATTGTCGTGCTAGAAACCCCATCCAACGACTGAGGGAACTGGATGTAGAGATCCACGGCTAGGCCCCAGGTGGAGCGCCGGGAGTCCAATTAGCGAGAAAGAAGAGGGTTTATATGAGCGAGAATTGTTGAAACCAAGGTTGGATAAAGCACAGGGACAAATAGCCAAACGAATGGAAACACATGAACTATGAACCAATGGCTGAGGGGCCCCCAACTGGATCAGGCCCTCTGAATAGGTGAGACAGTTGATTGGCTTGATCTGTCTGGGAGGCATCCAGGCAGTGGGATCGGGTCCTGTGCTCAGTGCAGGGTCCTTTTCAATCACCTCTCCCAGACAGGCCGGGCCTCCAGGGATTTGAGTGACCAGAGCCCCCCAGGTGGAAGGCTGACTTCCTGATGCTGCAAATGCCAGATGTTGCTTTCTCTACAACAAGCAAGGAGGAGGGATCCCCACAGACACGGACGGACAGGCTCAAAACAACACATTCAGTAACTTCCCAAACGACAGTTAACAACCCTTAGTCTATTCCTTTTCAAGACTTTAGGGTATTGTCTGTTTGATCTTCAAGACCCAAATCATCAGAGAGTGTAACTCCACCAAAAGCAATCCCACATGGGGTAACCAGCTCACAATGTGTAGTACACCTTAAAAGCCTAGATGATAGTCAAGTTCAAAGAGAAAAAGAAAGAAATCACCAGTCCTACACACAAGTCACAAATTACAAAGCCCCTTGGATCCCCATAAAGCCTCACAGACTTTGTTTAGAGTCAAGTCAGCCGTGACCTCTGGTTTTGACCGTTTCCCACATCTGGATTTCCCACATCTGGATCTGCCGGGGGTACAAACTCCTTGATCTAGCTGTGAGGTACAGTCAGTCAATTTCTAGGTCCCGGAGATGGAGGCAGTCCAAGCCAAGCCAAGAGGCCTTCGGGTCAGGGGATGGATAGGGGCAAAACAAAACCACAGTTTGGGGGAGAGAAATTTTCTCCCAAATACATAGCCTGATGTTTCTATCACCAGGATGTCCTTTCTGAAGCTGCCCAGCAGCCGGGAAGTGCCCAGACCCAGCCTATCTGTCTCACAGATCCCTTCAAGTCTGTCCCTGGTTTGGGCCTATACTGTCTGGGGCCAGCCTACCGAGACTTAAATAATATTATGCAACAACAGAAAGAATACAATAGCTGTAGTGTTTGGTTTTGTTATTATTAGATTTTTTTTGTGTGTGTAATAAATGGAGCAAATTAGTTTTTTGAGGTAGGGAGAGGGAGGCCCACAGGTGTCTATCATGTTAGTTACATAAAGGCTGCAAGTCAGATAACAAGCTATACAATCTTTGGTTTATATATATATTCGTTTGTTTATAAGGTAATTATGAACAAGGTCTTAAAACTGCCAATTACTTGAGTGACGAATAAAATTTTCCTTGCAGTAAAAAGTACGGTCCAGCCAAAGCCGGCAATTTCCTGAACTGCACAGCTCCTAAATTGCAGTGTGAAAGTGCTCCCTTCTAGATGGAGCATGCACAGTGTGGTCTTTGTCAGCCTCGACGCCCAGCACAAAAATCCCTTACAACCACCAGGATAATAGCCCCTGTTTCACAAAAATGTAAATCTGCCCTAATGGAACTGACTCCAATCCAAATTTGAGTTTCTTATTACCTTAGACTAACTGGCAAATTACCACCTGATAGGTACCAGTTTAAAACAAAAACAAACAAATAAAAAAGAAACTTGCTTTGTATCATGAAAGAGGGTTTTAAAAAGAAAGAGAGGAGTAAAGAAAAGAAGAATCACCCAAAACACTCAAAATAAATGTATTTCGGTGATTGGGTCCTAAACAGCCACTTGCAGAAGACAAAGGTTCAATTCAGTTTCAGCTCTAGCTTTTCTCCAAAGATGGACAAATGCCAAAGTTTATCAACACATTCAAAAGCACCACAGCCAATTCCTGCTGGGGCAAAATGTGTGCAGTTCTTGATTAAAAACAAAGTCCTTATCCACTGCTGAAGTTACACGAACATGGCATCTGTCCATCGCCCCAAATAACAGGGCCTGGAGGGCGTTTGGGCCCTGCACAAACCCACTGGAGAGGAGGAATATTTGGTCTTGTGTTTGTTGATGGTACAGAGAGTCCCCTGGTCAAAAATCGCTGCCGCGGTGACTTGTAATTAGTCCCTTCAAGACAAACAGACCTTTGGGGCATGGCTGGTGGGGAGCGTAAGACAGTTGCTTCCTTCTTAGCTTCTGAAGCAGCCACAGGAGAAACAGTAGCCCCAGGTACGCCAACCTTGGCTTCCAAGGTCCAAAAACAATGGCTTCATTTTGTTACCAATGCCATCTTCCAGGCAACTTCGCCAAATACCAT